TTTTTTTTATCTATTTGGACTTGTTTTGTTCATGGTGATAGACATGGATCTATCTGCAGTCTTCTACATGCCAGCATCCAGTTATTCCAGCACTATTTGTTGAAGATGCTTTCTTCATTATTTAGCTTCTTTGTCAAAAATCAGGTTTTTTGTAGGCGTGTGGGTTAATATCAGGGTTATCAACTTGATTCCATTGGTCTACCTATCTATTTTTTTGTGCCAATACCAAGCTGTTTTCAGAACTATAGCTCTGTAATAGTGCTTGAAGTCAGTGATGGTGATGCCTCCAGAAGGTCCTTTATTGTACAGGGCTGTTTTGGCTATCTTGGGTCTTTTGTTTTTAATGGAGTCCTTTTAGATGGCTGCACAGTTGCTTCCTTCCTATCACGATTCTTGAGTTATTTTTGGTGGCTTTCTTCGTAATTAATTCACTCTTAATGTTTATAAGTAAGTCTCTGAAACTCAGAGCATTCTTTGCTAAATTCATGTGATAAATAAGAGGAGAGTGGAATAACACTTTCAGTTATCATATGGTAACTGGCAGCTTACAGAGCACTTGACTTTCTTTATAAGACTTTAAGTAAGATATGAAAGGGAAGATACTATCTGCTCATTTTAGATGAAACAAGTTAGGTTCAGAAGGTGAAACAATTTGGACAAGGCCACAGAGCTGATCCGAGTTAAAGCTGAAACTTGAACCCGGGAACCCTACCCATATTCCATTGCACTTATCATTGAGCCATGTGACCTTTAGCAGTCCTGTAAACTTGAACAACCAATACCTGACAGCAGCAATGGTATTATCCATTAGCTAATACAACAGGGAAGCTGACAACTGTCTTACCTTCAACATGTTAAATACAGGCTATCATATAAAGATTTGTGTGTGTGTGAAAGGTACTGTGCTAAGTACTTCTCATGTGTCATCTTATTTAATCTTTGCAGCAACACATCAAAGTCTTTATTATTGATTGAGACTTAAAGAGGTTAGGAAACTTGAGTCAGGAAATGGTATGGCCAGAACCTCAAATTAAGTGTTATATAATTTCAAAGCCCCTGTATGTGCACACAGACACACACACACACACACACACACACACACACACACA